AGACACACACACAATGAGAGAGAGAGAGAGAGAGAGAGAGAGAGATACAATACATCTCAGACTTAGGCTTCTGTGTATCTTTTTCCCTTGTGAGCCTTCTTTTCCTTTCTCTGTTCAATGTGCACGTGTGTGTGTGTGTGTGTGTGTGTGTGTGCGTGCGTGTGTGTGTGTGAGGAAGAGCTGTGTTGCAAGGAGAGCAGGGAAGTTTAACTAGTGTTCTCTTGTCAACAAAAGAAAGGTAAGACAAAGCACGGCACATTTAGGAAGAGATCCCTCTTTCCATAAACACACCCCATTGTGTACACACACACACACACACGCACGTGCAAACATACACACGTGTACGTGTGCACACACACACACATACACATCATTTGTAACTAATAGAAATATTGAGATCCTGTTGTCAAGAAATGATTTTATTGCCATCCCTCTCTCTTTCTTTCTGTGTCTCTCACTCTGTCTCTCTCTCTCTCATGCTCTGTCTCTCTTTCTCTTTCAAATAGCAGTCACCACATTCACCTGCTGTTTCTGTTTATTCTAGCCTGCTTATCTTACACCCCTGCATACTGCACTCTGTTTGTTTATCCAGTGGGTGTGTGTGCAGGTGTGTGTGTGGCCATCCTCCATCTAATCACGCTAATCTCCATTTATAACCCTATCTCTCTCTCACTGTGTCAGCCAGCACACAATGAATCACTCTCTCTTTTCCCACTCCCTAACACGCTACACTTTAATTACCTTAAGGAAAGTCAAAGCCGAGAGCTGTAATATACATGTATGAATTTAAAACCGTTAGGGTGGAGGACATGTCATGACCTTTGTGTCAGATGGTTCTCTGTGTCTCTGGGGGAAGATGGAACATCTGATAGGTGCTTGTAATACTGAGTTCATGATGTGTAGTGTGTGTGTGTGTGTGAGTCCAAGAATAATACCATAGGTATAGATATCAAAGCCTGAGTGTGGTCATGTGATTAAAATGAAAGCGTGTGAATATCAAGAGGGAGAGTGGGAAGCTAGAAGACTGTATTTAGGAGATAAATCATCACTATCTATTTTTCATTCGTGTGAAAATAAAACTGCATGTCCTGTGTGTAAAAAAAAAAGAATCGTATAAAAAAATAACTACATGTGAAAAGTCCACAACATATGAAATTATGTGAAACACAATATGTGAAGCATCTGAAAGCATGGGTGTAAATTTCCCATGTGAATTTCTTGTGGCTCTTTTAGTTTTCCTCTAAATTTTATCTGTATTATGTGTGAGGTGAAAAAACAGCCTTTTTTTTAAATGAGGACCAGAATTATTCTTATTTGGCTAAAAATATACGCCCCCCTCCTTCCCTAAGCACTGGGGCTGTAGGAGAACAATGCAAACAGCTAATAAATAACTTCGGTTTTTTTTCTCCTTAGGCCTGTGTGTATGTGTGTGTATGTCTTCTGAGGCTGATGTGCTGCTGCTTTCTACTTTTCCTTCAAACAGCTGCACTCAAATTGTAGCAATGACAAATTGATCTCTTCAACACACATCCTCTCTCTCTCTCTCTCTCTCTCTCTCTCTCTCCCCCCTCTCTTCTCCATACTCCGCCCCCCCCCCCCCCCCCCCCCCCCCCCCCCCCGGGGTTTCACAGCCGCAGGTGCTTCAGTTATCAGTTAGTACTAACTGCCACACATTTGCACACACATGCACACGTACGTCCCCCCTCCACACACATATACAGTAGAAGCGCACAAACACACACACACAGTTTCCAAGACCTTTGACTTGTTTAAAAAGGTCTGTAAACGCTGGCATTTTCCCACAGCTGCTGAACTCTTTCTTTTCTGGTGCCACCACACACTTGACTTAGCACACACACACACACTCACACACACACAAGATTCAAGCTCACAATGTGTATGTGTGAGCACAAGTGTGTGTGTGTGTGTATACGTGTGTGTAGGCACACAGGAGGTGGGAATCCACAGGAGAGGAGAATGCTGTAAGCTGGAACTCCCCCCTCGTTTCCCTTCTCCCCTTGGCTTTTCTCTCTCTCTTCATGCAGCTTCCTCTCTCGCCACTGAAGGGCTGCACGCCTGTCATTAGCACAAAATGGGGGAGGTGCAAGTGCCTCTGGGTACTGATGGGGTGTCTGATCAGGGAGGCGAGGAGGAGACATTCTTCTGAATAGAGAGAGGCAGAAAGGGAGCGAGGGGGAAAATGAAGAGGGGGTTCATCAGTGCAGGTGGGAGCACAGTCTTTTCATTTTTTTCATTCTTTCACTCATCTGTTTTGGATGGCAGAGTGTGTGTTATAAAGGCTGCTTGTTTCCTGCCTGTGATTCCACGATGGCATTCATTGTCACTGATTACATTTACATGTACAAAATAATCACCTAACTGTGAAAGATCAAATTTTGGCAATAATCCAACAAATTTACACTCACTTAAGGGTCTCTGGGTCTAAATGGCTTGATAATTTGATGCTATAATTTAATTTATTAGACAAGGTTTCACTTTACTTGTTACTACTTATTTTAGAGTTTGCTTAAGATAACCATGTTATTTCATTGCTGGAGCATTGACCATAGTCTGTCGTTTTGATTGTTTCTGAGGTGTTTCTTCTCTATCTGTTTATGTTTTGTGCGCAGCAGTAAATGTATAAAATGTAAGATGTCAGATTAACAATATACATCTGCTGAATAACCCAATTATACTTAAATGTTTCTTGAAATCTGATAATCTGGCTTTAGTCTGATAAAGGATATTGTAGCATGTTTATGTGACATAATCTGATATCAGAAATCAGATCATGATTGTATTATCAATGTGCATGTAAACACCATGACAGTCTTATTTTGCGCAAAGCCCATAAGAAAAAAAGTAGAGCCTTTTCTTGAGTGAAATTTTACTTTTGAAAGTCGTGGGAGATAGATTAACTGAAAAAGATGAGGTAGCGAGAGATAATAAGGTCAGGGTTATGCATGGATTAAAAAAGTTAAAGCATAATTTCCACATCTACCTCTTGATTTAGCATCAAACATCACTAGCAACTGAGTGATTCAACCATATCTAACCATATGTTGCCCACATATAAACAGGAAGATATTTTTAATGATGATAGCTGTGTCAGTAAGACAAGTGAAACTGGCACCAAACTGGCACAATGCATATTTTATGTACTTTTTACATTCAGGGAGGAAAAAAAAGATTCTTATCTAAGGCTCTTTGAGTAGACTTTTTTCTCCATTTGATTTATTTCATTTGTTAGTTGCTTGTGCGCGTTCATAAAACACAAACTGCATGTGAGATTGTGCTATTCCGATGTATCCAGCATCCAACATTTGATCCTTCTCAAACTAACATATAGCTCGCTGCTAATTTAATGCACAGACATGACAATACGCCAAAGCTTGGTTTTGGTTCCTGGGCAATCATGTGAGACTGAAGTGACTCTAACACATAAAAGACACTTTCTCTTTTCCCCACGGGGAGGAGAACTGCTGCTGTTTGCTGGTGGGCTTATCATTCTGTAGTAATGGATGATGTGGTTTGCATGTTAGTGTTAAACTTCCTGTTCGAATGGCCTTTGGCAGGCATTTCAGCTGAACAGCTCTCAGCTATTAAAACATCCTGTTTTATCTAGCATTTGTTTGATGTATTTCTCTTCATTATTACAGAGAGTTCTTGTGAATCTGTTTCCTCTTGATCTCTCCCGCTCTCCTCTCTATCTCACTCTCTCACACACTCAATATTTCAACAATAGTGTCCAAATCCATCTCACTGAATATACAAAAAAAAAAAAAAAAAAAATTCTGTGCCAAGTAAGTGGTAGTCTATCGAGTGCATACTTCAGTAAAGTGTTGTAGTGTCTACCTTAGACCAAAATAGCAGAAAGGAGCCATGACACTCTGGAATCTGGGTTTATAATTAGACAATCATGCAAGTAAATTATTGTTCTTGTGATCAGGGTTCTGCTCTGTTGTTGGTGGATTTGGTATAAGCACTAATGCTTAGTGTGTTTGGAGCTGTGAAGGGCTCTCGGCTCTTCAGTGAAGGATTTGGTTGCATTATGTAGGCTGACCATTTTGTTATTTCAAGAACATACAGATTAAAAGCAGTCAAACAAGTGCATTTGTGATTTAGACAGATATCATGAAAGCGATGTGAAACTTTTATGTGAAACCGAAAGACTACTCATAACAGTGGTTTTCCCAGTGGGGTCCAGGGAGCCCCACAGGTCTGTGACATACAGCCAGTCCATCATGTTGGTGTTGTTGTTGTTGTTATTATTATTATTATTATTATTATTATTATTATTAATTTTTTATGATGATGAGCTACTACTGAAATAGTCAAAAGAATATGTAGTTATTATGTATATATGCCAATTTTGTTTTCTAATCTAAAGCTCAACAACTTAAAAACAAACAGAAATAATATCAACATTAATGTAACTAAAATATGATTAAAATGAGTAAAATGCTTTTATGATATAAAATGTTGATATGATACAAAACATTCTAATTGGTTTGGGCATTATCATTGTAAGACTCAGGAACTAAAAATCTAATGAATAAATGAATACATATTTGTATAATGTGCTTAATAATTGAATAATTAGATTCAACTCACATTTAACTGTGCACAACTTTTGAGAACCCTTGGCATGAAGTGTAGATCAGTAGTTCTTAAAGAGGGGTTCGTGAAGCATAGCCAGGGCGTCTGTGATTTTTTTAAAATTTTGTTACAGTGGTGGAAATTAAAACCCACCATTATCTAAGTTATTATATTTACTATTGTGTCTTTAGATTCAAGATTCTTTTAATGCTACACAATGATATTGGTAGTAATTAAGTTCAGTGCAGCTTGACTACTACACTATACAATAAAGTGCAGGACAAGTCAGCATATTTATTTATGGCATTTAGCAGACATCCTTATCCAGAGCAACTTACAGTTATCTCATTTATGCAACTTAGCAGTTGAGGGCCTTGCTCAAGGGCCCTGCAATGGCAGCTTGGTGGTGCTGGGGTTTGAATTCATGATCTTCAGAGCAGAAGTCCAACGGCTTAACCACTGACCCACCACTACCCCTGAATAAGTGAGTGCAAATAAAGCAGAAGAGTGTGTGCAAATGTTGCAATAGTACAGATGGACTGAAACTGGTAGTAGAAGTAGTGACTGAAGTAAATGTGACATTAATGACTATACATTATAACCATCAGAATTATGAGTGCAGATCTGATAAAATAATAAAGTCTAGCCTGTGCAAACATTGTGACAGTTTAGACTGAAAGAACCAGGGGAGTTTGCAGCATCTGAAGAGTTATTAGTTTCACTGGACACTTGAATTGAATGGGTTGAGTGATGGAAATAGCAACCTATCATTACACTGGCTGTAAAAAGTATGAAGATCTCTGGCATTAAGTGTAGACCAGTGGTTCTCAAAGTGAGCTCCAGGGACCACCAGGGGTCCATGCTTTTATTATTATTTTGTTACAGTGGTGGAAATTACAGCTTATCATTATCAGAGTTATTACATTTGTTGAGTTTTTGATAATGGTTAGTCTGTGTTCCTGGTCACTTGAATGAGTTTAATTGAATGGGTTCAGAAATAAAAAGAGCTCTCAGTCGCCAGTAAGTGAGAGGCTGGAGCAGACGGTATACAGATATAGATATAGATATAGATATTAGACTGGTATGTAGTACGTCAGTGAATGAGTGAGGGTTCGGATGGAGCGCGTGCGTCTTTCGGTGTCACAAGAGCAGGTGTTAAGATCAGACTATGCCTCGTGTGCTTCCAAGCCCCGCCCCTCTCGCGCGTAGCCGAGGCTTGTGCGCTGCGCTTCCGCGCCGCAGAGCCGCCTCACTCTCACAGCGCTTCACATGGACTAACACCAAACCGCGATTACTCTCTGTTTAAAGGTGAGTTTTCAGGCTCTTGGCATTTTCAATGTTTGGTTTCCGGCGCTCCGTTTCCGGTAGTAGCTTAGTACGCGTTTTTTCTATATTTGTTTTTGTTTACAGTCGCTAACTTGACCAGTTGCGCTGCTGCTTTGCTTTCATTGATAAGAAGTCTCTCTCTCTTTCTCTCTCTCTCTCTCTGTGTGTGTGAGTGTGTGTGAGTGTGTGTGTGTTACACACTTCTGCGCTACCTCCAGGCTACTCGAGGAATTCCTGCTCTTAAACTATTCATTTAACAGAATAATTTAACTTAAATGAAGAATGTTGTTGAGATTTCTCCCTGACTCTTTTATTTATTTGCTTATGGTTCTGTTTAGCTCTGCTGCTGTAATCATCCTCGAAATGTTGACCAGAACAAATGGAGCAGTTTGTTATGTAGAGGATGCAGGGCAGAATGATTACAGGAGGCTGTTTGTTTGTTTGTTTGTTTGTTTGTTTGTTTTTCAGAAACATTGATTTTTATGTTGACTAGCAATAAAGAGAAAGGAACTGCTCAGAACAACAGTATGAACACACCAGCCCCCTACCAGCTGTGTGCGCGCGTGTGTGTGTGTGTGTGCGCGCGTGTGTGTGTGCGCGCGCGCGTGTGTGTGTGGTGATGACTTGTTTTGAGTCTTTTCTGTCATGTCTGCAGTATTTCCACCAAACTGCTGATGCCATTATGCATAATCATGATTAACCATATGTGCTGGGAAATGGAAAGGACTTCTCACAAAAGGGTTGTTTTGCCAAGTGTCGACTTTCTTCCCTGTTGGTTTTGAGGGCATGGTTGAACGGCTCGATTTTGAAGTAATGTCACTGTATACTGAGCGCCTGTCCCAGATGCCATCACGTCACTGTAAGGCTAGAGTTTACCTCACACCACTTGATCGGTTAGATTGCAGATTTTAGACATTGCAGAAGAATGTGTAACGATCTCAGGCTCGGTTTCTCTTGCTCTGACAGAAAGCTCACTCAGCCACATGATGAAGTTTTGTTTGGCATCAGTATTGTCTCTGCACTGTAAACTGGGAAGGCTATAAATGAAACGGTCCGAGACTGGAAATACAGGATCAGTGTTATGACAGGGTGGTTAGAGTCTCACTGCTGTACCTTTAGGCTCAATTATCTGCCAAGATGAGCGAAAGAATTTTGCTTTTGAGATTATAGTCTTGCAGTAAGTACAGTCGTCTTGAGTTACTATTAGTAGACAATTTAATGATTGGGATGAAAGATTAATTATACTGTGAAGTACTTATAGACCCAATACACCTAGATGTATATATTAGAGACTTAGATAACTGATGAGATTAGAATGTACAGAGTGATAAGAAGTGATAAGAAAAAAAGATGTAACAAAAAGCTGAATAATGCTGTTTTCTTGAAACTGCACTCAATTTAAGTGTTGTAGCAAAATGGTTCATTGCTTTAAAAGTACCTGACATTAACTTGTGTATGTATTTCCTTCTTATATTCAATGGATCTGTGGCTAGTACCTAGCTAAGTTAGCCCCATACTGCTCTGCTACATTAGTTTGGTAGATTACACTATTTATTTGACAAAACATAATCAGTAAGGCTTAGTACCAGTTGTACTCGGAAACTTGTATAAGTTAAAGAGAGCACAGTATTTTATGGATTTAGATGGTCAGATTTTGGGTTTTTACTTTTTTTAAATGCATTATCTGATGAAAATCTGATACTGTTCTTTCTAGAGAACCAGAAATACTTAAATTGCTGTCATGTATCTTCCTGGTCCTTCAAAAATCATCACTTCCTGGCATGTGTCACTGGAGTGGTGGTTTCAGTATTTCACCCTCTTGTCACCTATTGAGGGCAATAATATGGATATCTCTGCACACATATGAACAGGTTGAGATGAGCTAAGTGTGTGTGGGTGTGTGGGTGTGTGGGTGTGTGTTTTGTAGAAGCCTGGCTTAGTGCGCCCTCGAGCAGAATGAACCATCCGTTCCTAATGTGGTCTGGCCTGTTTCACACAAAAGCACCACTATCACTGTGTTACGTGCTTTGTGCGTGGGGCAAGTGTCACAGGAACTCTCCACTGAACATCTGACTTCATTAGACACACTCCCATTCACTCGCGAGCTCTTTCACAGTCACTCAGCTGCCCCTTCCAATCTGTCGAGTTGGGAAAGGGTTAAATAACCGAGCGCCAGTGAGGTAGTGAAGACGCGAACTTGCCTCTGTGCTGAATATCACACACAAAATGTTTTTGATGCATCAGAACTCAGTAAAATGTGTCAGTGTGTGAACACTCCATATGTGCTTGAGTTGCAAGGTGATGCTTGAGTTATTTGCCCAATGTGTACGTAAGCTTCACTCGAGCTGTGCCAGACAATTTATTTACAATGTACAGTTAATAATAACGACTTGTTTTGCTACTGTGGGTCTGGGTCAGGGTGTAGTGAAGTTTGCGAGCGGGTGTGTGTGTATGTGTGTGTGTGTGCGCGCAGTTGTAAGTGTGCAAAGCCATATTGTATTAGGATTAGCTCGGGTTACTGCTGCTACTCTTGTCTCTGCCGGTCAGCTGTTATATGCACTTACACAACCCACCCCCATGACCACACACACACGCACACACACACAGAGACACACAGACACACCTTTGTTTGCTAACAAACCGCTTTGCAATTTCACTGTTGGAGCTTGTGTGTGTGTGTGTGTGAGTGAGAGAGAGAGACTGGGTGTAAAACAGACAGACTACTCCAGCACTGGTTTAATTGCAAAAGAAACAAGAGATGAGTGTGTGAGTGAGAAAAAAGGAGCTCAATGTTTTCATGGGGCTGAGCCAGTGCTAATCAGTTCCTAAACAAAAAACAAATACCCTTTGCTGATAGTGCAAGAGGAAGGGGTGGAGATGAACAACATACCCCCTCCCCCCTTACACACACACAGAAACACACACACACAGAGAAACACACAAAACACACAGACCTCCCTGTCTCTCTCTGTCAGCACATCTCTGCTTGGTTAGTAAGGGCTGGAACTCATGACATAATGTTTAGAGTTTGTACTGTCAGACTGTGACACACACACACACACACACACACACACAGGAAATTTCATTGGACCTGTTTGACTCATGGGATGAAGCTACTTTATTAATGCAAAGCTCTTGAAAGGCATGTGATGATGAAAGTGCTCTTATTTTGATGATTTTTATACAAGCTGGTCAGACAGACAGGACACACACACACACACACACAGAGGGAGAGCCTAAGGGAGAGAGCTCACCTCCCGGGCTGTCATTACTCTATAAACTGCCCTGTTTCTCATCTCCTCCCTCCACCCTGCCTCCCACTGAGCAACACACACACACACACACACACACACACTCTCTCTCTCTACTGTTAGCCTGCAATTACTGCCTGAAAGAGAGGGAAAGAATGACAGAGTGGAGGAGGAATGGAGAGAGAGAGAGAGAGAGAGAGGAGATGAAGGGGGAAGATGCTCTGATTAATTACTAAACAGCAGGAAGCATTAAAGCTACTGAAACAATTTACTATTTTGATAATCAATTAAGCTGTCGGTTACTGCTTTAATTAACTGATTTTTTTTTTAAATAATAGAACTGAGATATAAATGAAGTGCATTGTTTGTCTTAAGTGTGATGATTCTTTAGATTTCACTTCATGTGCTGTATAAAGTCCGGCATGGCTGATTAAAATGAGATTTGAATTTCCAGTTGTTCAGAGATGCATGTGCTGTTGTACTTTTACAATTTACTATTTTGAGTATTTTATATATCCAGTTGCAGTACTGGCATAGGTTTGTGTCATCACGTAATCATGGATTAACATGTGTTAAACATTAAACTGCTTTCTTCGGTATAAGAATATTTATGCTACAGATGTTATGAATCAAACTATAAATGGTATTTACTGTAAACTTGAGTTCTGTTATGACAGACACACGGTAGGATTTAGAGTTGAGAAAACTCCTAACAGAGCCAAGTATTACACGGTTCTAGAGCAGAGGGTTTCTTGAAGCCAGTGGAACGAAGAGCAGAAATAACAGGCTAATCACGTAACTGTAGATTACGATGCTGTTTGTTCTGAGATCCGTTCTTTTCACGTGGCTGCTGTTGTGCTCCTCTGATGGTTAGGTTTGGCTGAAATGAAGACTTCTG